CTGCAGCATGGCTGGGGCCACGGTGGGATGCGGGATTGCGGGTGTAACAGGTTGCCGCAAAGCTTGAGCATACGACATGCGGGGGAAGTCACTGGGTGGTTGATAATCCCGCATGAAAGGAGGCACGCTGGACTTCATCTCGGAATACGCTGGACAACGAGGAGATAGTGGGCTGCGAGGGCACTGACAGCTTCTGGAGTTCTTCGCGGATGACTGAACGTATGAGCTCTCGTAAGAAATCCATTTGGCCACCGAAAAGTCCCAAGTAGTCCGTAGTTGAAGCGTTGACGTGCCGTTCGTATGACGGGGCCTGGTGCCTAAGAGTGCTTTCGATGGTGACGGCTTTTCTGAAAAATTCTGACACAGTCTTGGGAGGACTGCGCACAAGCCCACCGAAAAGCTGCTCTTTCATCCTGCGCATAAGGTACCGTACCTTCTTTTCTTCTGGCATGCCGGGGTCAGCTCGGTGGAAAAGACGCGTCATGTCCTCGACATACATCGCAACCCCTTCATTCGGCAGTTGTATGCGGGACTGCACATCGCGCTCAGCTCTCTCCCGTCAGTCGGGGCTGGCATATGTCCCAAGAAGTCGGCGTTTGAAGTCTTCCCACGATGTAAGAATACCGGCCCGGTTCTTATACCATACACATGTGCCGTCCAAAAGACTGAAATAGACGTGCCGCAGTTTGTCTGCGTCGTCCCACTGGTTGTGCACGGCAACGAACTTGTAATGAACGAGCCAATCTTTGACATCCTCAAGAGCAGTGCCATGAAAGGGATTTGGCGTTCGCGGTGTGAGTAAGGTGCAATGAAGCGGCGTTGTGCCGTTCGTACCGTTTGGGTTGGTGTCAGTAGGGCTGGTCGGAGCTGCCATGTTGTTTACGAGCAGTCCAAACTCGGGGGATTGCCCTCGGATTCTTCAGCTGGCGCGGTGTACAGGAGTGACCATCGATATGATGCTTGAGTTCTTGCTATGTGGAGGGGTTCGGTGCATAGATTACCCAGCACGTCCACCAGTTTGTCACGCACCAAGAGCCGTGAAGACAAGACAGGAACAGCGGTGCAGAAAGACACGAGCGTGTATCTTTAAACGAAGCGCTAACACACACTTTTTCTTCGTTCTCTTTGCCCTTTTCGGCTCGCTAGGGCTTGCTGGCTCACAACTCCAGGTGACAATATTTTAGCATGGTATTGCCTTAATTCACTGAAAATAAACCCCACCAAGACTTCGTTTCTGCTTTTTCCTATCAGTCAGAGAACACTAGAAATGCTTCCCAGTGTCATTCTTGATTCTCAGGTCATTAGTGCAGTTGATAGCTGTTCATTTCTTGGTGTTACTTTAGACTCAAACTTGAAATTTACGAAACACACTGCCCATCTGAAGGGCAAGCTTGCTCTGGTAATAGAAATTTTAATAAAAGCTAGGGACTATTTCAGGAAACCTACACTACTACACTCTGGGACATCTTTTTGTGGCAATGAAGAGAAGGCTAGTAAACCAAAGTGGGCGTGTGCCAACGCTGAAGAATATAATCCCTCAAATCTGTGTTTTCCGTGTGAAGATGATAAAAAACAATACTTCATTTTCGACAGGATGCTGTTTATAAAAAGACGTTGCACAAACCAAGGAGATATTAATATTTGTTTTTCTTTATGAAGTGTCATTTTGCATTTTCGTTTATCCGCACACGTCGCGCGTTTTAGGTGCACCTCACAGTAGACCTGTGCGCCGGTACCAAAATTGCCGGCGGAGGCGTGCTGGTGTTTCCACCTTTAACGGTGGCGTGTTAACAGCGCAGGATCCGTCAAAACGGTGGCGGCGCAGCGCCGGTAGGGGGGGGGGGGGGGGGGGGGGGGGTTCAGATTACGATTGAAGAATTGGTGGGGATAGCAACTTGTTCCTTGAATTTGGAAAAAAAAAAGCAAAATGGTTTCCCGACAGGGCGAAGCAGTTGAAGTGACAGCAGCATGTCTTAATGTTATTTATTTACAAATACTGCTGCTTAAGTTTTCGAGGCATAGCAGGCGTATATACAAATGCTCAGCACCTTCAAAAATACAATTTAACAAAATAGATGTTCATGCAATGTTTTTTTTTTTTTTCAGTTGCTCAGAAGCGAGTCTCCACAGGTATTCATCAAGCTCATTTCAAAAATGCACGTTCCACAGAAAAGCAAACAATAAATGAAGAAAACAATCACATTTCTTAATTGATCTAACAGGCACAATATTTAGATAATCAAATCACCAGGTATACGATGTACAGAAAAATTCAATGAATGATATGGGTGCAAGAACACTGAAACCATTGTGCACTGTCTTATTTATGCAGGAGCATGACACGATTGCAAGTCAGCATCGATAATACAGCGCATTTGAAATGTATACAAGAAACACTGGTCATAGCGACAAAATATAAACCTTCTTGCTTTTTTAGCGCATTTTCACATTGCTATGTCATGTTTGTGGTCGGGTCACCAAACAACCAACCCTTATTCGAGTTTGGCCACTATGTTATGCGCTGTTAGTCCGTATCCTTTTGTCTAGTTGCTTAACCTCTGTCAGAGATACCAATGTTTTCAAATATCTTGTACTGTTCCAAAATACTGTGCCATTCTAAATTTGTTAAGGGAGTTACACCAATGTATTTAAAGTTCGTGACACGTACTAGACTTACACGGTCATTAGATTTGTAATATGAATTTCTGATTTGTAATGTTCGGGACTAGAGTATTTTTGCATCTACTAGACAATTACCATCTTTCAATCCTGTTACAAAATGATGAGGAAAAAACAGCAGCACATCTTGATCTTGTGTATTAGAGACGTTTTTACAGATAACGTAGTCGTCTGCATACATTGCAAGTTTAATTTGGATGTTACTGATGAACTCGGCTACGTCGTTTATATAAACAATAAACAAAAGCGAACCAAAAACTAAGCCTCAAGGCACCCCTGATGTCATCTGTATGTCAGATGACTTCGCGTAGTTAAACGTAACAAATGATGAGCGTGATCGCAACTAATTTGCGATAATCAACCAGCTTGTTGTCATCATTGTGAAGAAGCTAGAAGTTTGGTGTGACAAACCATGTCAAAATCCTAAGAATAGTCAATAATATGGCATAAATTGGTCTTCGGTCGTTTAGGGCAGTGGTTCTCAAACGGGGGTCCGCGACTCTCAGGGGTCCAAGAGCCATTTCTACAATCCGCGAAACCCTCACCCGATTTTGTTTTACTTTTTTTTTACATATGCAACTCTGTTTAAGCGGGACTCTGCCATGTATTGATGAGCTGTCCAAAGTGAAATGATGCGGCACGTTTGTTTGATGTTTTCAGTAGCAATAAGAGGCACATGTTTCACCCTCCAGTTGTGTTAATTTACCTACGTACCCCTCCCCCTCTGCTGCAACGGGTCCCCCATCACTTCACCAGTACACAGGGAGTCCCTTACACCTCCATGGTTGAGAACCACTGGTTCAGGGAATCAACAAGGTCCTGTGTTATTTCAAGCAACTGTGTAGCCATCGGGAAAATAGGTTGTGTGCTTTTAGGTATTCTACATAGTATTTGTTGATTATATGCTTAAAAAACATAGAGCTCGTATAGAAAGCAAAGATATTGGCCTATAATTTGCTATTTGCTTGTTTCCGGATTTAAGGGCATGACGTTTGCCGATTTGCACAGTTGGGGAACTGTTGCAGAGATTTACTTTTTTCAAATATTACAGTGAGGTAATTTGGCATACCACTTGTGCCAGAGTTTATCGTAACTGCAAAATTACTATTAGGTTATGCAGTTTAGTGGAGCTAAGTTCCAGATTATTAAGAGCAGGTAATGTGCTGCATGAGGAAAATGGAGTGATGCTGTTATCGGTACAAAAAAGAAATTTGAAGTAATTACTGAAGGTGTTTGCGATAGCTTCCGGATTTGAGGAGGATTGGTCATCAAGAATAAACAATGAGGGCATAGGCGATGCAAGACTGATCGACCTTCAGAACCTGGATGGATATTTTTCATCAGTGTAGCGAAGATGTTGATAACATAGTAGTTCTTAGCCTCTTGAATTTAGCTTATGGTTACTTTTCAGTGCATTAACTCATGAAGCATTATTATTACACTTGGAATGACAATTCTTGCATAAGCTCTATATGCGACAAGCAAGATGAATTGTATATTTATGGAAGCATATGGGTGTGTTGGGTTCCATTTAAGATATTTTTGTGACACATACTTTGATAGGCATTATCAGAAAACTTAAGGAGGAGCGCATCTACGTTGCTAAATTCGCTGCAACATTTAAATTCCTGAAAATATTAGGCTAAACATGAACCTTAAGAAAATTCAAAGCAGTTTTGATCTCATGTCTTTGAGGAGAACACACTAAATTTGAGACAACGTCAGCAGTATTATGGTCAGAAAACCCTTCAATGGCTTCACATTTTACACCATGCGATAGGAGCTCACAGCCTCATAATGAACTTAGGCTGTAGCAACTATTTTTCATATGACCTTGCGAAACTATAAAGAGCTATCGTGTGGGAATACAGCTGCTCCCGGGAAATAAAGCAGGGTTCGTACAATGATAGCAGAGCGTGTTGAAGGGTAAACGAGCCGTTCGCTGATGCTTGCCGAAATACCGAACGTGCTAGTGCGTGCTAGCAATCGTGACCACACCTTTATATTCAAAATTCACAGATGCGGATCGAGCTATGCAGCCTCCTACATAAGTATCCCTTCATACTACTTCATCCAACAAAAAACAGACAGCGCCTCCTTTCCGGTTGAGGAGTAATCGACGGCAGCCATCGCACGGGGAATGATGTTATCGCATACACACTCCATGTGATGGAGATAGACAGCCTGTTTGATTCGGTTCTGTAGCTTCCACAGAGCTGTCAAGAAAAGTTTTCGCTAAGTATAGCTTTTGCTTTGCATATTGTGCATGCCTGTCATATTTTGTTATTAATGTGCTTGTCTAAGCAGACTAGTCTTTGCAGGTTTGTGTGTGCAGTGCCCTCATCACTTGAACTTCGGCTGCACTCATCAAGCCCATTCAATTATCAGGTATGTTCACGACATTTTGGATTGATTTTGTTCAACTGTGTGCAAGGATATACTTAAAAAAGAGCGGACTGAAGGCATTGACACCTGGGGAAGTCGTCCCACTGGTAACAACAATCTGCACATGGGCAGTGGCAGCAACACGGAAGGTACTGAAAGATTACAGTAGAAAATATACAGAATAAAGTTTAAAATCTACGTACAAGTATGGTCAGCATGAAATGCGAACATATCATCATTGCTACGAATGCTAATCCTTAAACAGAAACAAAAAACAGTACAAACTGCAAAAAACACAAAGAGCTTTGAAAAAAATCTGTAAACGGGGGTTGTGTGCACGAGACGACATTTCAACTAGTGGACTAGTGGACTTGAAGAAAAGAAATCCACACCACCCCCCAAGCACACAATCCCCATTTACAATTTTTTTATCGTAAACTTTCACCTTCTTCTTCCTGCATTCTTTTTGGATTTCCAAAAAAAAAAAAAACTGAAAAAGTGTCCGACTTCTTTCTCACTTCATAATTTTTTTCTAATTTGTCGTTTGTTATTCTGTAGCTTGAAAAGGTCCGCCCTTTGCATGGCTGGTACAGAAGCCTAGGTAATGTTCCAGCCGCACACTGTCGTACCTTGCACGGTTAACGTCCCCTTCCCCGAGTTCCAGTCGTAGTAGCTACGAAAGGTTCGGGAAAATAAGGCAACAGGCTAGGTCAACAAAATGGCATTTTATTGCCACATTAGCAATAACACGTGAATGTCACATAAAGGGGCTATCTGTTCTATGAAGGTAAAAATGGATAGACTTACATCTTTTGTATTCAATCGCCTTGACTAGCAGGAATTCCGGAGCTCAGTCATTGCTGTTCGGTCGCTGGTGCAGGAGGGACCATCTTGCTGTCAGCACGCTCATTTTGTCCAACCTCCCGGTTTCGCTCTTCTCAACGAGGGTTACTTGTCTCGCGAAGGGAGAGTTACTCGAGCCGGGAAAAGAGGGATAGCATGCGCTGGCCGCGGGGTGAACGGCCCTCCAAAACTGGCTTCATTGTAGCTATTCTGAAGGAACTGACGTGTGCTCGCAGATAGACTGGCTGCACTGCCGTAAAAGGGAAAGGAAACATGGGCGTGCATGCTTTCCCACAAGCTTTGTTGTTGTTCAAGAGCATCATAATCTGGTAGTGCAGTGTTTGTGAACTATAGTTTGGTCTGATACGGTATTTATTACAGATAACATGTCAAAAGGCATGAGGTAGAAATTTCGGAGGTCATGTAAGGTGAGTCAAAAAGTAGGCACTTGATTGAGCATATTTGTGCTTCAATCTTCTTACAGGTGGTGAGCAAAGGAGGTCCCGTTGAGCTGGAGCTTGTCGTGCGAGAAGCCAGTGGTCGTCGGTTGGCCAACATCAGTTCACTAGATGTGCTGTGGGATCTGTCGGACTACAGGCTGGCCAAACTGGACAGCCACAGGGATGTGACCACTCATGTGGACGGCTCGGCTGGGTACCGCCGCACTTCAAAAGGTGCTTGTGCCTTTTTTTTTTTTTTTCGAACAAAACTGCGTAATTATTTTAATGAAGTGACGTTTATTTTATTTTTCTAATCGCGTTTTATGTACTGCATGCACGGTATCAGAGGGGGCAATGCAGTGAAAGGGGAGACACAAGAGGAGGAGGAGGAAAAATTAACTCTATTTTTAAAAACATGGACAAGTAGAGCAATTCCACATTAAAAAACACAGCTATGGCCTATGTTGTCATCATTGGCTCCATGTGGGACCAATATTTTTTAACGTTAGCCTCAAGGGCCAGCCACCGCTGGAAACACCATCAGCATGACGTACTTGGCAGGATCACATAGTCTCTGTGGCCGTGTCAGCTGCTTGTGGAGCATTCACTGGTGCTTTATAAACGAGTTTCAAGCTCCACCTGTGCCACAGACTGTACAATTGTAATAACAATAAAAGTGGCTGCCTCCGAAAGTGAAGAGCATGCTGCCCTTGATGCTTGGTGCCGCAGTGCCGGACATATGCAAGCACAGAGTTCAGTGTAAGCCTGCACCGGTGTACAAAAAACTGCATGAAGAGTAGGTTGGGGAGCTAAAAACAGCAAGCAGCTATCGGGTACAAGAAGCACTTTTGTGACGACATTCGCTACTGCGTCAGGTCTGTGATGTTGAGTAGCAGGAACTGCAAATGAGATGATTGTTTGCACATGCTTCCAGCCGACTAATGGTGCTTTCTCCCACAGGTTGGAAATGGCTTGGCCTTTTACCTCAGCGATACCATCTTGGAACGTTCTCTTGTAATCTTTTTATTGTTGGCTGCGTGTTCAGCATCTGCAATATGGGCTGTACATACTTTAGTAATTGTGTAAACACATTTGGATTTCAAAACTCACGCGGTTCATATGCGTTTCCCTAAGATGACCGGAAGGCGAAAGCCACCTTTGGCTCCTTCTTGTCAATGTATTGACAAGAAGCTCCCAAAACTTATTGTATGCACACGATTTTGTACTGCCTCCGTGATCGGCCCAGCAATCTTGGAGGCTATGAAAAGGGACCATGTTATGTGAGCACGTCACCGTGTGACATCACATTGTGTGGCATTATAGTGACATCATAATGGCGGCATGAATTTGGGCAATCTGTGACGTCGTGGGAAATTATCATCATCATCATCATCAAGCTGATGTAGGCCTGTCTTCAGTGATTGATGGCAAGCAGGAACATGTTTACAGCAGCTTGAAAGCTGTTATGTGTGGGAGCATTGATTTCAGCAGAACTGTCAGCAACAACGATATCAGACAACAAAGTTTGGACGTAGCAATCGATGGAATCAAGTAAAAGGGTTCCATTCAAACCACAACTCAACAGTTAGGTAAAAATGTCCAGACTAAGTTAAAGACTCTAGTCAGATTGAGCAACAGCTGAGAATTTCATTTGGTTTACTTTATATTTGTTTAGTGTGTTTTCTAAGCGTTTTGCTGATTGTCAAGTTTTTGTGTCTGTTATTAAATCATGTTTCGTGTGCTGCGCAGCGTCCTCTCAGTAAATCACCATCAGCATGCCCCCAAGATCCGTGAGAAAACAATTGGTGAGCCTGTGCCAAAATCAGAAGATTTCATGATCATTTATTTTCCTGCCCAGTCATTGATACTGGAAGAGTGCAGAGATGAATTGAGAGTGCTTTACTGTGGTCGCTATAGATCTAGGAATGACTAAGGAGGAGATCTTGAAGTTCTTTGAAAAGGCCCAAAGAGAACAGGATAAGCAGATAGCACTGAGAGTGCGAGTATGAATGAGGGAAACAGGAGCACGAGTTTGAACGCAAGAAAGAGCTTCTCAAAATAAAGTTGAGACTAGGGCAAATATATGGTATTCTGTAAGATGATCAGAGTGTTGCATCAGCATCCTAGCAGGCTCACCAATTTTTTCGTCATTGATCTCGGGGGCGTGTGCTATTGGCGATGGATTGAGAAGACACTGAATGGCACAGAAAACATGATTTATTAACTGGCACAAAGAACTAGAAAAAAACTTGGCAATCAGTAAAACCCTAGAAACACACTAAACAAATATACAAAACTAACTCAATTCTCAGTCATTGCTAAATACAACTAATGTCCTTGACTTGGCCACTTTGGCCTAACAGTAGAGTCGTGGCTTGAATGGAACACACTTACTTGGTTGCGTCGATCACTGCGCCCAAACTCCATTGTCCGACGCTGTTGTTGCCAACGATCCTGCTGCAATCATCGCTCCCATGCATAATGGCTCATCAAGCTGTTGTAAGCCTGTTTCCGGTTGCCTTCAGTGACATGGCATGCATCCTTGTTGGCTAAGCCTAGTACGAGCTCGGCCTTGACTTGCAGTATGACACGGTATTGTGGGAATCGCTGCTGGATGATGTTCAAAGGGGCACTGCTTCTAGTGCGTCCGGAACTGCTGCAAGGTGCTGCAGCAGCTCCGAGGAGCCTCACTCGAGTGTCGTCCAGATCAACGGCCACACCACAGAGTGTTACTGTCACTGCCTCCAAAACTGAATGTCCATAACTCCAATCACCAGAATGTAGCAGCCGATGCGACTTGCTGCTCCCGTAGCCGCGCAAGCAATGCCAGCTCATAAAACTAGCCTTCCATTAGGGTTCGCGTCACGTGCGTCGGACCGTGTACCATTTCATGCACGCGCTCATGCCTGTTTCACATGCTTCTCCTCCAACTTCGTCTTCGTCCATATCCGCAAATTTTTCACTTGTGAGACAGTGATTTGTTTCACGTTACTCGTGGTGACACCACTGACGTGGGATGCCGACTGTTAATCTTCCTATTTGATGAGTCATCGAAGGCTTTGGCCTTGATAAGCTATACACAAAGTTTACTGGTGAATGCACAGCAGTGCTCAATATGAGTTGAGACACGCTGGCTGTGGTTAAAGTGACACCAAGCTTGAATAATGATACCGACAGACGTCAAGTTGGTTCAGAAATTACCGGTAAATGAAAGAGCCTAATTCACAGATTCACAGTCTCGGGGCTTTACCGGTTGTTCTCGTCAAAAAAAAAAAAAAGACGGGTCCATCGAGGTTTGCGTTGTCTACCGCCGACTCGACAAGATAACGTGCAAAGACGTATACTCTCTGCCTCGCATCAATGATGCTTTTGACTGCCTACTAGGAGCAGAGTTCCTTTCTTCGTTATATTTACGCTCCAGCTACTGGCAGGTGCCCATGGCAGAAAGTGACCACCTGAAGACAGCCTTTTTGAATTCGCCGTTATGCCCTTTAACCTCTGCGATGCACCTGCCACTTTCGAAAGGATGACGGATACCATTCTGCGAGGTCTGAAACGGAAAACGTGTCTCTGTTATTTGGACGATATTGTGGTATATTCAAGCGACTTTGTGACCCACCTCAGCCGCCTCGAGCAAGTTCTTACATGCCTTTTTATGGCGGGACTTGAACTTACCGTAATTACTCGAATCTAACGTGTACCTTTTTTTCGGTTAAGCGAGTTCATGAATCGCATGCGCGTTAGAATCGAGTACAAAAAAAAATATGAATACGGTCATTCTATTGCCATCGGCATTTCCAAAATGACCGCCCCCTACGTGCGTCGGCATGGAGAGTAGGCCATTTCTACCTATGTGTTTCCCATGTGCGGCATTTCGTACGTGTGCTGAGGAGTTTGTCATCTGGTAGTGCATTAGCATCGACGGCATGGAAGGGCCCACTCCAAAAACTCGACGAGTGCACCACGACGCCGCTTTTAAAAGAAAAGTCATCGCGTGTGCTGAAACGGACTGAAATCAGGCCGCATCGCAGTCGTTTGGAGTTCCCAAAATGTGCGTGCGGGACTGGCGGAAACAAAAGCAGAATATTGTCGACAGCAAAGATTCACGTAAAGGCTTCAGTGGACCACAGCAGGGTCGGTTTCCGCAAATTGGAAGTGCTGCTCAGCGAGCATGAGATTGAGCAGTGAGCGGCACAGCGGCCCTTGACGACAGAGCTGCTCCAAGTGCAGGCTATGCAGTTAGCCTTAGAAAAAGGGCTAATGCCGAGCCAGTTTAAAGCGAGCAGGTGCTGGCTAAATAACTTTATGAAGAGGAAAGGCTTTTCCCTCGGAAGACGAACGGGCATATGCCAAAAGTTGCCGGAGGAGTACGAAGAAAAGCTTCACAGTTTTCAGAGGTTCGTTCTAAACTTGCGGCACAACAACGGCTACCTGCTTGGGCAAATCGGGAATGCCGATCAAACGCTTCTTTACTTCGACATGCCTGGCACCACAACTGGCGAAAAGAAGGGGGCGAAGCAAGTTCGCGTGCTGGCATCGGTGCACGGTAAAACTACAGTGACGGCAATGCTCTGTTACACGTCAGGTGGGCACAAGGTTCGCCCGTACCTCATATTTAAATGAAAGACGCTTCCGAAAGGAGTCGTTTCCCCGAGTGGTGTGATCGTGCGGGCCAACGAGAAAAATGGGTGCGCGTTTCAATCGATGTATTACTTTTTTTTTTTTTCGTAGTGGAAACCGGGTGCGCGTTACAATCGTGGGCGTGGTAGAATCGAGTAAATGCGGTAACTTGAAAAAATGCCACTTCGGCGCTCACAAGCTTGTAATCCTCGGCCATGTGGTTTCTAAGGACGGCATTCTTCCGGACCCTACAAAACTTAATGCAGTCGGGGCATTCGCCTAACCAACCACCATCAAAGAGCTCCGAAGCTTCATCGGCCTATGTTCATACTTCCGGCGCTATGTCCGCGATTTCGCCTCCATTATCGCCCCTTTAACCAATCTTCTTGCTGGAAGTTCTGATTTGTCAGTGTGGTTGCAGGCGTGTGATGATGCATCTCAGGCACTCCGACGGCTCTTCACTACGCCTCCCATACTGCAACATTTTGATCAGTCTGCTCCAACGGAGCTCCATACAGATGGTAGTCGTGTCGGGCTAGGGGCCATACTGGCCCAACGCAAGGATGGCTTTGACGAAGACGTCGTTGCCTATGCCAGCCGCATCCTCACTAAAGCCGAGAAGAATTACAGTGTCACCGAAAAGAAGTGCCTCGCCATTATTTGGGCAATCTGAAGTTTCGGCCTTATTTATATGGACGTTCGTTTGATATTGTGACAGACCACCATGCGCTTTGCTGGTTATCTTCACTAAAAGATCCTAATGGTCGGCTCGCTCGTTGGGAATTGCAGTGAGAGGGATTCGATATCCGTGTTATCTACCGTTCTGGCCGGAAGCATTCCGACGCCGATGCCCTGTCACGCTCGCCGCTGGCTTCAGAGCCTGTCTGCTCACCTATCTCCACCAGTGCTGCCTTGGCCATCAGCACTTCAGACATGCCTTCTGAGCAATGCAATGACGATTGGGTTTCTTCCCTTTTGGACTTTCTCTCAAACCGGACACCCGCTCCAGTTTCCAGGACGCTTCGCCGCCAAGCACAACTCTTCACTATTCGGGATAACCTTCTTTACCTCCGAAACTACACCTCGGTCGGCCGTAAGTGGTTGCTCGTCGTTCCCTGACATCTCCGCACTGACATCTGCACCACGTTCCACGATGATCCGCAACGTGGCCACGCCGGTGTGTTAAAAACATATACTCGCTTGCAGCTGCGGTACTACTGGCGCGGTATGTACCGTTTTGTTCGCCTTTATGTAAGGTCTTTCCTTACGTGCCAGCGATGCAAGATGCCCACTCAACATACCACAGGTCCCTTGCAGCCGTTGCCATGTCCAACACGAGCTTCGATCATGTTGGAATCTACCTTTACTGTTTGCTTCCCTATACTCCGAGTAGCAACTGCTGGGTCATTGTCGCTATTGACCACCTAACGCGGTACGCTGAAACAGCTGCATTACTTTCTGCTACCGCAAAAGACGTTGCATGTTTTATACTGCAAAACCTGGTTTTAAGGCATGAAGCACCTCGGGAGTTACTAAGCCATTGCGGCCGTGTTTTTCTCTCTAATGACATCAAAGTGTTGTTTAGCAAGTGTTGCATCATACAACGCCTATCATACATCATACACCACAGCCTATTACCTGCAAAATAATGGGATGACAGTGCGTTTTAATCGTACAGTTGTTGATATGTTGGCCATGTACACTTCATCCGACCAGTCAAATTGGGATAGCATACTGCCTTTTGTGACATATGCCTACAACACTGCAACGCAATGCACCACTGGTTTTCACCTTTTTTGCTTCTTTATGAACGCGAGCCATCATAAACAGTGGATACTATTCTTTCTTATCGACTGGACCTTTCAGAGTTGACAACCGTATCACGAGCAGTTGCACGTGCTCAAAAATGTCGGAAGCTTGCTCGTGCGTTTACGTCGCACGACCAAACGCGCCAAAAACATTGCCAGGACACGTCAACCACGCCTGTGAGCTTTGCTCCTAACTCGCTGGTGGGGCTATGGATTCCTTTTACTCCTCCGGGACTCTCCCACAAGCTTTCGTCCTGGTACCATAGTCCCTATCGAGTTGTGCGCCAAACATCCTCTGTTAACTACCTCGTCAAGCCGCTGGACGCATCTCCGGACAAGCGTCGTCGGGGACAAGAAATTGTACACGTCTCTCGGCTCAAGCCGTACCATGACCCTTCTGTGTACACCTGTCCTTAGGTCGTCAGGATGACTCCCTCGTCACCAGGGGGTGATTGTAACGAGGGCCGTGGACACCGAACTTGAGTGGAGAAAGAAAAAAGCGCACTGTGATCACAGGCTTGCATTTAGTTAGCCCTGGCACTAAATAAATCTCTCGTTCGCCGAATCAACTCCTGCTTGTTCAACACCTTGTTTCACATGATACATTACAATCGGGCATTAGAACATGCATTTATCATGACTTCATTGTTTAAAGCAGGCTACCCACTACAAAAGGCATGTACATTCTGCATCTTTCTTCTGAAGTCCATGCAGTGGGTGCATAGCAAGTTCGAAAAGATTTCACACGCATAATTGCTCATGGTTTAAAGCATACTACCCATAACACAGAATGCAGCCATATGCGATAGCTTCACTGACACAAGCCACTTTCAACTGTATTGATAAGATTGTAGTAATCACAATTTAACCTTCTTGAGTGACGCCATACAATAAAAAGTATGCCTTGAGTGCTTAAAGCATGCGCTAGGGACATGAAATCGCTATCGTGTTCAATTCTGAAAGGTCTAGCTGAAGGGTCCGCCAATTTTCAAGCTCCCCTTGCACAATAGCGCCCTGTTGCATACTGTTTCTCACAGTATTTGCTAGAGGGAACTCAGGCACGGCACTTGGCACTGCGATTGTGGGTAGAACATGGATTAGCCTAGTCTTCATGCTTGCAGGCTTCACAGGCACTTGTGGCTTAATTTATTTTTGTGTTTTCGCATTTTTTGTCGGTGAAAGGATAAATCATTGTGAACTTTGCGAACCAATTTAAATTGGCGAGTGTAAATGGTTAAGGTCGCCAAGAACAACTATTGAACATTTGCACAGCTAAATGAAACTACGAAACTTAGACAAATCTGTGTACTGCTCATGCCGTGTACTGCTCATGCCGTGTACTGCTCATGCCGTGTATTGCAGCTCCCATAAGACACTAGCACCAGAGTGCCCTCTAGTGCACTTATAATAAAGCCCCACCGCGGTGGTCCAGTGGCTAAGGTACTAGGCTGCTGGCACGCAGGTCGCGTGATCGAATCCCGACTGCGGCGGCTGCATTTCCGATAGAGGCTGAAATATTATAGGCCCGTGTGCTCAGATTTGGGTGCATGGTAAAGAACCCGAGGTGGTCGAAATTTTCGGAGCCGTGAACTACGGCGTTTCTCATAACATTATGTTGGTTTTGAGACGTAAACTCCATATATCAATCAATGCACCTATAGAAAACTGTCTTGTTGGGCCTGTAATGTCTCTTAAGTAAATGAATGTCTCTTGAGTAAAGAAATAAAAATAAATTAATATTGTGAGAGTGTCGATGCAGGCTTGTTGGTATTGAACAATGTGGTCACTGTATGTACATTTCACACAGACTTCCAAGTGTTGCGGCCACGTGGGAAGCAGGGTACGTTGACGGTAACAGCCAAGGTCCGTGGACTTAGTGCCCATGTGCTTCGCCAAGCAGCCTTACCCATGAAACAGGTTTACTCTTATGTTTTATTGCGCATTTGTTCCTCTTGTCATAATTTTTTTCGTTTAATTTTTTGCACAGCGGGACAAACTTGCCGCAATTTGTGGCCAACGCTGAAAACAACATTAACTTTGTTTCTCATTGACTTTGTTTCATTAACTTTGTTTCTACTGTTTTTAAGCTCATGCGACAACCTATGCACATAAGAAATCACGGCTATATTATTTATAGTTGTGGAATGATTAACTTTCGTTTCCTTCTCATCCTTTACTTTCTTTGCCACTTTTTCGCAGGCCCTCATGATGACCGATTCAGGGTAACCTGCTTCCTTAAGTCGTGAAACCTGCTTTGCGAAGTTCTGTTGCATTTTGTGGTGACAGGTTTTAAACAATGAAGACTGAATGCACGCAACACTAATGCCACTTATTACAATTTTTGAGTGATCAGATGAAAAAGCAAGCAATGGCTTATCGGCCCTAGGACAATACTCCCAACAAAGGTGATCTCCCGGTGCAAAAAATGATGTTAAATCTAAAAATTGCAAATCATTTCGGACCGGCAATTCACACGTAAAACTGAGCCCATTACCACATTCCCTAAACACATTTAGAACATCAATTACTCTTCTTTGTAAGTCAAAAGTCTTGACAATGACTAAAAAGTCGTCTACATAATGCACAACTTTAACAACAAGGTCTCCGATATTCTGTTCTATCTTTTTATCAACACAGGCCAAAAAAATGTTACTAAGAACTGGCGCAGCACTAGATCCAATGCACACTCCGATTTCTGTAAAAAAATTTTTCCGTTCTCTCTTGGTTCCCTGCCCACATGGGCAAAGACGTTCACCCACAACAACCCAACCTCAACGAAATGGCTCATGATCGAGCACGAGAACTGACCCGCCGTGACGATCAATCAGCCACCGAAGAGCTGGGCCCAGACGTGCAGTTTAATGACCCACTACTCACCTTCCATGAAATTACCTCCCACTACCGACACAACAGAAGCCGATACCCTTTACCCCATTCAAAACTAGAACGCGCGCAAGAAGTAGCCTTTAGAATGTTACAAACGAGATCGTACCCATCACGGGGCCGACTCAGCCATTATAACTCAGACATAAATTCACAGTGCCCAGATTGCACAGAAGTGTACTGTTCACTCGCGCACATGCTCTGGCAATGTCCCGCGTTACCTCAGGGACCTCTCACCAGTGAGTCCGACTGGGAGGAGGCACTCAGGAGCCCCAATCTCCGAAACCAACTTAAGGCAGTCCAGAGGGCCCAAGAACTGGCGGAACGCCACCACGTTCCCGCCCCGACTCGGGCGTCGCCTACGGTAGCGGCTGCTAGGATGTCCCACGTGGGCACCCTGGTGGCTTAAACTCCTCAGGACCATATATTAAAGTTCTTGACTGACTTCTAACCAACAAAAGGGAATTCAAATAAAGAAACAACACCTCCATAAAACTATCGACGGAAATGAGGCATTTGTCAATGAACAAAGGCTCATCATTTTCATCAGTAATACAGCTTTTTATGCACTGCATTAGCGTATTATGTGGTAAAGAATAATACATATCCCGCACATCAATACTGAAACCATTGGCATGCCCCAGATTGCAGTTCTTCGAAAATTTCTCCATGGCGGCAGAATTCGGGACATTCAATGGATCATGAAAAGTAAGTGCCGACAAGTGCAACTGAAGCCACTGCGAAACTGCGTGCTCGAAGTGTTCGCCTCCGATACTATGGCTCTAAAGGGAACGTTGAGTTTGTGTTTTTGCCATTAAGGAAACCTCCAGTGTACCCGGCCTGGCTTTTTTACCTTTGCTACTAAACGCTCAAGGTGTAGACCGCCTAAATGGTTCTTGTCTTTGCTTTGCTTTTTTCAGATGTCATATATTCTGCTTCTTTTAAAAACAAACTTTAGTTGCGAGTCAGCGCTGTAGTTTGTCTTTTCTTTCCCGTCCCTGTTTTCATTGCGCTAATATTCGTTTACGATACCGTGCTCGCTTGCGATAACGTGCCCGACTGTCTGGAGAAGAGCTCACATGATGTATCGATGATGCCGAAGGCTTCTGCCATTCCTTCAATCCTGACATGTCCGAAACTGCATAGGTCAGACATAAAATGAAGGGCATCGAAGACGATGCCTTCCACATGCTGGTGGCAAAGAACTAGCAAACACTTGCAGATGTTATTTAGCACTGCCAAAGCTGCGACAAGTTGCGAAAACAGCACATTTCAACACGACGCCCTACTTTCAACATGACCAGCACGCAGCATACACTGTTGGCACCATTTCTCCGGAACCGGGGGTATTGACGCAGCAAAATCAACAGTTCATCCAAGAAGTGGCATGCAAGTTGTCTCTTGCGCTCTTCCTCCCAAGCAATAGTAATATTCTCACCTTGTTTCTGTGAAAAACCATCGAAGAGCAAGTTTCCGAGGCACTCCCGCCCACATACCAACCATCGCCTGTGTCCGCTCCCCTAACCTACGCTGACATCATGCAAAGGCAGGCACATGCGCCACCACACGTTGCCGACTCTGCTCCCACCAAACAAATGCCCTCTATGCAAGGTGCATGCCCACAGGCCCACACATTCTTCTTTATTGTCGTCTTTCAACGCTTCCCAACAACCCTTGGTGCACATCGGATAACAGATTCATCTGTTACTACTGTTGGTCTGCCCGGCCATGTTGAGTGGTTCTGTTGCCGGTGCGTCCCTTGTCCAGGTACCGCTGGTGAAACCTACAGCTACACTCACACAGAACCACCACAGACGATGCCTCTCCATGCTACTTCGGACACCCCTTTAATGACCCGTCGACAATCGCCTTCACCGATGCTTCGTCGTGCACTACCTGCCCAAACGGAAAACTAACCATTGCAGTTTCGGAGGCAAGAACTGTGTCCTCAGCACGATCAGCGCACAAAAAAGAACAAAAACACAAGAAAGTGCACGACACAAGTGCTGCACTTTCTTGTGTTTTTGTTCTTTTTTGTGTGGTGATGGTCTTGAGTACATCCCAACTAGCCCAATTTGCTACTTTACTTAAGAACTGTATAACGGTCAAACTTGTGGGGATAGAGGCTGTCCTATTGCCATTGCACGGGCTTTACCATTGATTTCTGCAATCCACATGTTGTGGTGTACACGTATCTCGAAGGAGTACGGCCACCAGCGTGGGTCTGGTCTTAGCGAGCCGCAGGGTTGTCTGCCAGCTGCTCGAAAGAAATCGTTTCGACAGTCCCAGGCCACCCGCAAGCTGCCAGGCACGCGAAAAAATGGCATGCATTCGAGCAATCCCGGACCAGTGAGCGGAGCCTCCAGTTTGTTTCCGAGAAAAACGAATGCTGCACCAGCGTCCAGGGCACTCCGGAGTCATCCGGGATGTGTAAATCGATAAATCTCACTGACACGGCGGCTTGATGGTACCAGCTTTCTGGTTATAGTGCAGCAATGCTCGAGAAGTTCCGTGCAGCCTTTCTGCGCCATTCTACCTGCTGACTATAAAAGTAGGATGGGGCAAGAGCTTGAGATTCATACACAAGATCCTGACGAGTCTTTATAGGAGTACATACACGCGATGAACGAACTTCACACTATCGCTGAGCCCAGAGCCTCGAACAAGAACTGCGTCGAACGGGTGAAAGGCAGGCAGATCAGATTTTTTTCAGCGTACTGGCATCACGGCCGCTTCCACGATTTAGAGGAGTTGCCTGCCGAGGCAAAGCGCATTCATGGTGACCTTCTTGTAGTGCGTGCCTATCACATGCCGCCGCCACCAGCCAGCGAAGCTCTTGAGCCGCGCTGAGCTTTGGGAGGGGCCGTGACCCTTCTATAACGGCAACAGCCTCATAGCAATGCTTTTGCGGCTGGAACCTGCTGTGCGTTGGATTTGAGCGGTCATGCTTTTGATCCCTACGCGCATGAAAGGTGGGCAGCGTGGGCTGCACCACCTGAAACCCCCATGAAGGGATGCCTTCCAACCCAGTGTAATGTGGGAGGTGACACTTGCATAAATGCGTCATGTGATAATATAGCGAGCCAATTACTGCCACTAGAGGCTTCTCGGTCCGGGGAAACTGGCCGTGATGGAGTGCACGATTTTCGCTGCTGTAAACGAGGGCACATGCAAGAGAGTGCACCGTATCCAGAACTCCTGCGAGGCAGGGAAACGGGATTACGGGTCATTTGTGAAGGCACAAGCGACCTTACCTTTGCTTTTTCCCTCTGCGTACAGGGCGAGCACTTTTCTTGCTGGTGCACACGCGGTGTTCATTCCGGCCAATATTGCCGGTCGTGATTTTTCGACGTTGCTGCACACGGGCGCTAGTGTCTCATTGTACGGCGAACAGTATCTGCTAAAAACGATACTGGCGGATGTGATAGGGTCTACTAGGTATGCATCCTCACCCAAGACTGTCGACTCGAAAGTCACTTCGCCAATGTGGTTCACGCCTTTCGACCCTTTGGAGCCGAGGGCCCGGAGTCTACTTGATGCGACTGCTCTCGGGAGTGGCGGACACTAGTGCCGGACGCCAAAACGGAGGAACGCGACAAGGCGAGACGTCAGCCACGACGTTCGATTTCCCTTTCCGGTAGCGCACAACAAAGTTATACCACTGCAAAGTCAACGCCCAGCGCGCGAGGCGGCCCGAGAGCTTGCGCAAGCGCTTAAGGGGGGACATGGGTCTTTAAAATTTTTTTTCTGTTTTTGGCTCAATCTTGACCAAACCTCACCATCTTGGACAGTTTTTCATGCTGATTTCAAATATGTAATTGTTTCTGAAATAGCTTCAGTGGATAAAAAGATATTAACATCTGTAATTTAATTAATTATGCACTTCATTGGGGGCTTTTTGGCAACTTAATCAAGCCAGATCCAAAAAATAAATGCATAGCCCCAATGCTGAGGGCTTTCTGTATGGGGTGATGCTATTTTTATTAATTTTTAGGCATTATATAGATAAGAAAACAGACCAGCACTTACAATGG